CTACTGTACAAGCTGATATGAAACATTGGCCTTTTGAAGTAATCAGTGATGGTGGTAAACCTAAAATCAGAATTTCTTACAAAGGAGAAAACAAAGTCTTCTCCCCAGAAGAGGTAAATATTATATTTGATTAAAAGATGTAAATTATTAAATGTTAATTTTTTTTTAATTATGTATGAGGTTTCGTCTATGGTTTTGACCAAGATGAAAGAAACCGCCGAAGCCTATTTAGGAAAAACAGTAACTAACGCTGTTATCACTGTACCTGCCTATTTCAATGATTCTCAACGTCAAGCCACCAAAGATTCTGGTACCATTGCCGGTTTGAACGTAATGCGTATCATCAATGAGCCTACAGCCGCTGCCATTGCATACGGTCTTGACAAGAAAACATCTGGAGAACGTAACGTGTTGATCTTCGATTTGGGTGGTGGTACTTTTGATGTATCAATCTTGACCATTGAAGATGGAATATTTGAAGTCAAGTCGACTGCCGGAGACACTCATTTGGGAGGTGAAGATTTCGATAACAGAATGGTCAATCACTTTGTACAAGAGTTCAAACGCAAGTACAAAAAAGACGTGACCACCAACAAAAGAGCGCTGAGACGTTTGAGGACTGCCTGTGAACGCGCTAAGCGTACCCTTTCCTCGTCTACTCAAGCAAGCATTGAAATCGATTCATTGTTTGAAGGAGTCGACTTTTACACATCCATCACTCGTGCCCGTTTTGAGGAATTGAACGCCGATCTTTTCCGTAGCACCATGGAACCGGTAGAGAAATCTCTGCGCGACGCCAAGATGGACAAATCTGCCATTAACGACATCGTATTGGTCGGAGGTTCTACCCGTATCCCCAAAGTACAGAAATTGTTACAAGACTTCTTCAACGGCAAAGAATTAAACAAGTCCATCAACCCCGATGAAGCTGTTGCCTATGGTGCTGCAGTACAAGCTGCCATCTTGCACGGAGACAAATCTGAAGAAGTCCAGGACTTGCTGTTGTTGGACGTCACTCCTCTGTCATTGGGTATTGAAACCGCTGGTGGTGTGATGACTGCTCTTATCAAGCGTAACACAACCATCCCCACTAAACAGACACAAACTTTCACCACTTACTCTGACAACCAACCTGGAGTCTTGATCCAAGTTTATGAAGGAGAACGTGCCATGACCAAAGACAACAACTTATTGGGCAAATTCGAGTTGACTGCTATTCCCCCAGCACCACGTGGAGTCCCCCAGATCGAAGTCACCTTTGACATTGATGCTAATGGTATTTTGAACGTCAGTGCTATTGAGAAGTCTACCAACAAAGAAAATAAGATCACCATTACCAATGATAAAGGACGTTTGAGCAAGGAAGATATCGAGCGCATGGTTAATGACGCTGAAAAATACAAAAATGAAGATGAACAACAAAAGAATATCATTGCTGCTAAGAATGGTTTGGAATCTTACTGTTTCAACATGAAGAGCACAATGGAAGATGAAAAAATTAAGGACAAGATCCCAGAAACTGACAAAACCACAATTTTGGATAAAGTCAATGATACTATCAAGTGGTTGGATGCTAACCAACTGGCTGAAAAGGAAGAATATGAACACAAACAAAAAGAATTGGAAGCCATTTGCAACCCAATTATCACTAAATTATATGCCGGTGCTGGTGGTGGTGCTGGTATGCCTGGTGGCATGCCCGGAGGTTTCCCTGGTGGTATGCCAGGAGGCTTCCCTGGCGGTGATGGTGCTGGAGCTGCTGGTGCAGGTGCTGGCCCAACTATTGAAGAAGTTGATTAATTAATTTAAAATTAAGCACATTCCTATATTAAATAATATGTATTGCTTCTTGAGAAACTACAGTCATTTATCCTTTTTTGTTATAAACAAATAAATACAATTTTTTTTTACCTTAAACCATGCTTTTATTGAATAAAAATTCCCTCTTGGCTATTTACTTATCAATTTAGTAAACATTTTCAATAATGCAAATAAATCATGATAATTAGCATTTAAAAAGTTGAAATCTTAAATTGGTCTTGTGAAATTATGTTAAGTGTTTTTTCTAAAAAATGAACAGTTTTATACTGTTGAGTATGCATATATATTTTTACTAATTATGTATATTTAAAGGTGAGCTGCAAAAAATTAAAATAATTTGCAAGTCCTAACTGTTAGGCTGACTAATAAACATTAATATGGTATGTCGTATGTGGACATTTTAAAACAATAAAGAGACCTCTACTATCAATTTTAATTAAAAAGACTTTATATTTTTATAAAGTTAAAGTTTGTTTACATTTTCCGATTTTGATTTTGAAAAAAGAATTGAACTCAACAGAAAATGTTCTATAGATAGTACGGAATACTTATTAAAAATTTAATCACATTATCATGAGCTATAATTAAAAACTTATAATATGAATTTGTCAAATCATAATTAAAATTGTAAAGCGAAAAATGTACAATTTTCTTTTAATTTTTAATTTCTTTCTAGAATCAAAATCAAACAAAGTTAACTAATTTTAATTTAGTCAAAATTATAAGAAGTTGTAAAATTGCCATAGCAAATTTTAATTTTTATAGTATTGAGTTTTTAAAACGTTCATACGCGTACTTGAGTGGCATCTAATGGCGGCTCCAACGGGTGCGCTCAACAGTTATCAAACAATTACTATTACCGTGAAACCAAAAATAAATTTATTAATGTAATAAGTAATAACCAACTAATCCACCAGAGAACTATTAGTATAACCAGTTATCTGTTTAATAGTAATCTAGTATCGTATATTTTATGACAATAAAATAAACTAAACAAATAAAACAAATTACACACAACTTTTGTTTGGCCGTCAGTCTTAAAGTGGTTGTATTCGATCAGTTCGTGTGAACTTAAAATTTTAATTTCTATGTTTACACCCAAATCTCATTACGCTGATACACTGTAATGGATAAAAATTGGCGTTACAGCGTAAAAACAAAAAAATAAAAAATTGTGTAGTAGTATTACATTCTTATGAAAATGGTGTGAAAATAAACATGCAGCAAGGATTAACATAATTAAATAAATTATCTATACGTCTTTAATATTATAATACATAGTATATGATATATAATGCACCTATTATTGATAAAAACAATTGCATTTTGTAATATATTATTATGAATATTAATTTAGTCTTGGATTGTTAATGGTTAAGTATGTAGATCAGTACTCATTGAATTATAAAAATTCGATCTTATAGTTATTATTATATGAACATTTATTGTAATTATTGATGGTAAAGTAAAATTAATTTACAAAATGTATAGGTACCAAAAATCTAGTCTTGTCAAAGTAAATAAATAAACCTTAGGTAAGTGGTTTTTGTTTCAATTACTTTGAACCACGTATGTATTATAATATATTTTTATTTTTTTATATAAAATAGCATAAATTAATGTCATTAGGTTTTTATACTTCAGCCATTGATGGTTATGGTTATAATACACTTTACGTGGCAAAAATCGAACGACCTCTAAGTTGGTTTTCTACATTTTGGTTGCCACTCTTATGTGTTGTCTCCGTCTTACAAATGTATATGGCAAATTTTTGTAGCTACAATATTAAAGTAAATTTAGTTATGTTTAACCTCAAAGATAAGAATACCATCGGTATTGGTGTTCTCTTGTTGGTTTTTTAAGACTTTTAAATTTTTAAATGAGTTATGAGCATTTTTAAACAATATTTTGCATAAGTATTCATAACATCTACAAGTTATCGAATAATACACACTGTACTCTAAAACAACTGGAAGATCTTTTCATCACTTACTTAATGTGAATATTCAGTATATACTACAAAATGGACAAGTTATTTTGCATTGCAAATCAGTGAGTGATTATTATTCATTAATCATTACCAATTTTGTTCAATAGCAACTGTACGTTAACTACCCGCTAATAAATAATATTGTAATTAAAATAATTATAAAGTAATTGGCAAAAACGAAATTTAACATTATAAATAGCCTAAATGTCATTCTTTAAATAATATTCTTAGCGACTTTCAAAGCTGGATGTTTTTGGATAAACTATACTTACTATCATTGGAACATGTTATCTATCGTATAAATATATATAGTATATTAATGAATAAACTCAACATTAAATAACACTTTAAATACTGTAATTGTTAATTATGTATTAATTCATTCTGGCATTTAAAAAAAATTCTTCAAAACACTAAAATAGTGGATCAGTTAATGATAATTGTCAATGAACATTTAATTCACCCAGAATTTTACACTGCATTTAAAAGAATGTTATAACTAATCAATAGTCATGAAAATAATGCAGTACCTGGTATTTAATAAAATTTTGAGAAACATCACTTTTGCAAAGGTTGGTATCGTAGGTAATTAATTCTGATTGGTATATATTATAAACATTACATTAATAGAATGAATTACAATAATTGGAGGTACAGAACACCTATAACACAGGTTGTGAATACAATTATTGAAACGAAACCATTTATGGATGCTTTTGACAATTAAGTATCAAGCCAACTAAAGGTGTACACTACAGCCAGCAGTTCGCAATTAGGCATTATAAAATATCATAGGGCAATATCACGAGAGGCATTAATAAAAACAAAGTAATGGAATTTAGTGTTTACGAAAGTTTCACTATACACATACCGTACTGTATTTTCACATAGTGCATTTAAATTTCTGACCAAATAAGCTTATTGAAGTATAAAAAATTTAAATGATTAATATAATATTTAAGTATTAGATTTGACACGTGCAATTCTATTTCTATTGATCATTATTAATACCTGTATTGGTTATTTTATCCAAATACAATCAGTAAAGGCAATGTGTACATCTAATGATAAATTTCAATATTTTCTGTACATATTGCACAAAACATCCATTCTGAAATTCAACTTACAGATATAATAACAGGAACAAGGCAGGAATCCAAAAAAATAATAAATAAAAACAATTAATAAATGGAAAGAAAATAGTTTTGAAGTGTTTTATTTGTTGATGTTTTTAGACAAATGTAAACACAAGGTATAGACGGCGGCTATGCTTTCAGTTGGGCCAAATGGATTGTAGTCATAGATGCAGTAATTAAAATCATGTTAAAAAAAATAAATGTAAAAGATACAAATTATATAAACTAAGTTTATAAAAAATATTTTTTAAATTATAATGCATCATAAATACATTAACTAAAAAAAAATATTTTTATAATTATGTCATCCCTATCACTCAGTTAAACATAACTAAAACAAAATTTAAAAATTCTTGAAAATAAAAAATAAAAAACAAAGTTATCATGATATTGAGTAGCACAACACGATTTTTTCCTGCGGAATTCTTTACGATGAAAACAAGGTTGTAACAGCCATTTGGATAGTATTAGAAGTTGGGATGGTATCTGACACCTATGCCAACTTTCGTTTGACCTAACTGAAGGACGTGTGTGCGCTACTGCTACGCCTATTCATTTCTTCTTTTGGGCCTTTTCAGCGGCCTTTGTTACTTTGCCGGCAGACGGATCTTTGAAGTTAACACTCTGGAAGTTTTTAGAAAAAAAAATATTACAAAATGCACAATATACAATAAAAATAATGTAATTAAGCTTAATTTACCTTGATGACACCAACAGCAACAGTTTGCCTCATGTCACGTACAGCAAAACGTCCCAAGGGAGGGAACTCTGAGAAAGCTTCAACACACAAAGGCTTGGATGGTACCAAGGTAATGATGGCAGCATCTCCAGATTTGATGGCCTTTGGATTAGCTTCAGTAGTTTTACCAGTACGACGGTCACACTTCTCTTTGATTTCTGCGAATTTGCAAGCAATATGGGCTGTGTGGCAATCCAACACTGGAGTGTATCCATTGGAAATTTGACCAGGGTGGTTCAATACTATGACCTGAAAATAAGGAAATGGAATATTACTTGACATAAATCATACTAATTATAGATGTAAATTAAGTACCTGGGCAGTGAAATCAGCAGCACCCTTGGGTGGATTGTTCTTAGTGTCTCCAGCAACGAAACCACGTCTCAATTCTTTAACTGAAACGTTCTTTACGTTGAAACCAACGTTGTCTCCGGGGACAGCTTCTACCAAAGCTTCGTGGTGCATTTCTACAGACTTAACTTCAGTGGTGATGTTAGCAGGTGCAAAGACCACAACCATACCGGGTTTCAAAAGACCAGTTTCAACACGACCAACTGGGACTGTTCCAATACCACCAATTTTGTAGACGTCCTACAAATAAATTAAAATTAGAAACTACATATCATAAAAAACATTGATATTTAATTATACCTGGAGTGGGAGACGGAGAGCCTTGTCAGTTGGACGACTGGGTGGTAGGATAGCGTCTAAAGCTTCAATAAGACATTTACCGTCAGCCTTTCCTTCTTTGCGTTCAATATTCCATCCTTTGAACCATGACATCTTGTCGGAAACTTCCAACATGTTGTCTCCATTCCATCCAGAGATGGGAACGAAAGCTACAGCAGCTGGATTGTAACCAATTTTCTTGATGTAACTGCTGACTTCTTTCTTAATTTCTTCGAAACGAGCCTATAAATAACAATTTACAAATTAGTAATGTAGTTAAATTACTATAGTTGACAAATTTAAAAACTTGCTTCGCTGTATGGTGGTTCAGTGGAGTCCATCTTGTTCACACCAACAATCAATTGTTTCACACCCAAAGTGAAGGCCAATAGAGCGTGCTCACGGGTTTGTCCATTTTTAGAAATACCAGCTTCAAATTCACCAGTACCAGCAGCGACAATAAGCACAGCACAATCAGCCTGGGAAGTACCAGTGATCATGTTCTTGATGAAATCTCTGTGTCCAGGTGCGTCAATGATTGTGACGTAGTATTTGGCAGTTTCGAATTTCCATAAAGCAATATCAATAGTGATACCACGTTCACGTTCAGCCTTCAGTTTGTCCAATACCCATGCGTATTTGAAAGAACCTTTACCCATCTAAAATCATAATTTAAAAATTATTATTCATTCAATTTTGAATATTTTGTAAATACTTACTTCTTGGGCTTCTTTCTCGAATTTTTCAATTGTACGCTTGTCGATACCACCACATTTGTAGATCAAGTGACCGGTTGTTGTTGATTTACCGGAATCGACGTGTCCAATGACAACAATGTTAATATGTACCTTTTCTTTACCCATGATTCTAAAAATTAAAAATATACAAATTATAGAGAACTATGTAAATAAATAGTATTGAGAAAAAAAAAGGAAGGAAAACAAAAAACAGGCCTACACCACCACAGGAAAGATCAAATTTAAATGAAATAAATAAGATAATAATATCAATTTATCAGAAATATTAATTAATCAAAAAAAGGCTTAAATAAGTAGGAAACTGCTTATGTAGATGGAACTAGATTAAAACGGAATAAAAAAAAATAAATAAAATTTCCACGTGTACATACATGACGTAGACAGTTACTTAGTCGAGTTCACGAGGAAAACTTTTGAAATGCAAATAATGCAATAAGCCTTAAGGTTAATGAACCGAAAAATGACGCATTATCAAGCTGTTCAACAAAAATGCATCGTGTTCTAACCAATTTATCTCTAGACATGTGTCATGATGACAATGGTACCAACCGATGGCCGGCAGTCGAACTATATTTAATTTCATCAGGATTTTAAACCAATATTTTAGAAAACAAAATTATTAACGGGGTTTTTGTTACTTATGATCAACAAATTTGCGACGGTAGACACGTAATCAATAACGGTAAATGAATAACGCTTTATAAGGTGTGAAACTAGTCAAATACATTGCCACATATACAAAAAAAAAAAAAAATTACCATGAACATAATCATCAAAATTAAGACACTTAATGAACTCAAAATTTAAAAAGGGTAGTTAAAGCTCCAGTTCTACGATTAAAATATACAAAGAAAACGATAAACAGCAAAAAACACGATCGGCATTGTACAGAATCAATGCAGCACGGAAATCTTTGAAGAACAAAGATCCATATTCCAAGTTCTTCAAAATATCTCAAAAATAATCGAAAATTGATATTAATTTTTTTAGATAATGAATGAGACACAGATGTATGAGGAGACCGAACAGCTTTTTCGTAATAGGAAAATAATGCAACGAGTACGGATAGAACGGCAAGGCATTCCGGCCGGCGGATTACGGTTAAATCGTGGCCGAATTAAAAAGGTAAAAACATAATGGAAAAAAGAAATTAAATGGTTTTACTTACAGTTTGTAGTTGACTTGCAATCAAAATTTAAGATTCGAACGGATGAAAATCCTCTAAAAGACTATGAAGCCGATACGGGCGGTTGAAAAATGTTCAATCGACGAGCGGCACACACGACGATAGCAGAGCAGACACAGAAAGAGAGCGATCTCACGAAGCGCACCAGACTGGGGTGGTGGTCAAACGAGAAACATGGCGGCCGGCGCGCCGGTACCGACACAAATAAATCTGATTTGCTTTTTTAATACCATTTAAAACCAAAATATTAATGTTTTCGTTTCGTTAAATATTTATAATTTTTAAAAATATAATTTCTTTTGGCTTGATAAGACTTTTAAGCCTTTTTTAATTAAAAAGTTTCATTTTCTGGTAATGGTTTTGAGATTAATTTACAACAGTACTTTAATGTTACTAGCACTGTAGCCGTTGCCAACCCAAAGACACGTAGTTGTGAAATGGTTTTCAAAATACTTTAAACATTCTTAGTTCTCACGTACCGTGGTTCTGGAATCGTGTTATGAAAATATGAACAATGAACATACCTAGGCTATGTTGTACTTTTAGATACTACATAGTACATACTTACTACGTGATTTACACGTGACTGTGATTTTCAAAATAAAAAATACGAAAAAATTGCAAATTTATAATTATTATTTTTAATATTGAATAATGTAAGACAATAGTAGTTTATATTAATTATTATTTTCTCATTTAATTTTCATTAAAATGTAAATGAGCATGAAATTATTTTATTTATTTTTTATTTAGTTAAATTAAATACGTAAACAAATAATTCAATATTGTTAATTAATCATCTAATTAATTTAATAAAATATAGTACCTATTAAAATAAAAAGTTACGTTTAAATAAATCAAATATAAATATAACTTTAAAATCATGCTAAAATAAAATGTAGATTTCTATAGATATCTTACCTGCACGTACTTTAAAGACTTAATTTTTAAAGTTTAATTAATTATGGCTGTTTGGATATTTAAAATACAGTGGCTAATGAATTTAATCTTTGGATTAAAAATTTCAATGAACTTTCAAACACTATTCAATTTTCAATTTTATTATAATTGATTATAATATAGTATAATTGAAACCTTCACTCATGAAGGACTATGTGTTTAACCTGTATTTTTCTTTATAGTGTTATCCAAGATATACTAAAACACGAAAGAAATGTTAGGGCGTTAATTTCCACCTAAAAAAATTAATTCGAGATCACAAAAAAAATTACTTTGCCCATCAAAAATAGTCATGATGAATTATTAAATTTTACAATTATTACTATTGAGGTTTAAATCATTAGTATTATTTACTTTTTAAGTAGGATATGAGAACATACATTTCTTTTTTCTTTAATACATACAGATAAGAAATAGATTCGGTATCATTTATCGAAAAGTCAAAATTTATATTGACATTTGACACTTTAAATACCGTATTCCTGTATCCATAGTTTATTTACAAACGCCTGATATTATTTACTATTTAGTTGTAATCAATGAATTAGATATTTGAAGTTAATATCACTAAGTATAATAATCATATCTAAGCAATTAAAATTTCTGATTACTACTAAATTATAATTATTACCTATATAGATTAAAAGTTAATATTTGTAAATTAATGACCACTGCTCGCTATATTTATGGTGACCAGATGTACTCATTTTATTAGAACACCGTCACTACTTGTTTTTAGATACATGTTCTACTATCTTTAAGAAATTGCTGAAGTACCTAAATAATATATGTTCTTATTTTAAATTATATAACAATTAGGTATAAATAAAATTATGTTCAAAAATTCGAAATGTATAGTTGTTAAAGTTTAAAACTACTCAGTCAATCATCATAATTCATAAAAAGAAAGAATCATTTTTACTTAGCAAAGATACCTATGATATATTTATCAAAACTTCCAACTTAATTACAAATTTAGGTTATTATTAAGATCAATTTTTATTAAATGCTAAGAAGTATTATTCTAGTTGTATTGATTATTTAAACAAGTGGTCCACAAGTATAAATAATTTAAAATTATTTCATGGATTTGTTTGCATGATTGAATACATGGGATCAAAAAATTTAAGGCTTCTTTGGGTAATATTATAAACAAAGATCAACTTTTTAATTAATTGGCCAATTAAAGTTGTAAGTAAGTACTGTAAACAGAAAAAATGTTTGATAAAAATAATAATAATATATTGATTGAAGGTTGATGGCTAGAACTTTTTTATTTTGTAAAAGAAGCAGTTATTCCAGTTACTATCTTATAAAAGTTCTATGAATTTGTTTTAAGCTTTCCAGGTACAAGCACAGTAATTGAAAGACCTTTTTACAAATCAATAAGTATTGAAATTCTGAAAAAACACAACTAGAAATGTCTTCATTAAAATTATGCAGGCTTATAAAAATGTTGATGAAACATATTACAATGAAACGTTATGTTAAAAAGTAATCAAAAGTTACTTAAAGAAATGGATGTCATAAAAATATTTAAAATATTTTTTTTTTTGTTGTTGTTGTTTAATTTATTTTTATTTATTTAAAAAAATAAATAAATAAGTGCTTATTTTTTAAATTTGGTCACCATAACTATAAACCAACATATAATATTATAATGCGTCAAAACTCATAATATGGAAAACATTATATCATTTAAATATTGGAATTTGAACAATTATTATTGGAAATAATAAACTTGCTTCAAGTGACAAATAGTGTTGAGATATTATAAATGTGCATATTGTACAATTACTTAAGTATAATAATATATATTAGATTAATTTAGTTGTTTATTAGATATTTAGATATACAGTATTAACTTTTATAATGGTATAAATAGTTACTAGAAAAAAGTAATAATAGCACTACTTGCGAGTCATATTTTTATTCTTCGTAGGTATCACAGTCATTATTATTTATTTTTATAATTTAAAATAATATTGCAACAGATTGTGTAATAAAAATTTGAGTTAAAAATGATTTATGAGTTATCTATGAATTATTAATAATTATTTATTATTTTTGATGTTCTGTTATATAATTTATAATACAATCAACAAATACTATAAGTTTTTGATGACTTTAAAAAGAAATATGTGATGTCAATGTGCATTCATTTTATTAAAAACCAATGAGTAATACATTTAAAAGAAATATTGCTTACAAATAATACATTATCATTAGATTTTAAAAATAATACATGTTGAATTAAATAAATAAACATCTTATAAAAGGAATCATAAAACAATAAGTAGATACACTGTAAATAATACATTGATAACAGTAATAATTTTTTTATTAACAATATTTTATAAAAGATAATTTAAGATACTATTTAATTAATAAAACAAAATGTAAAATATCAAACACAAATACTGTTTTCGTATATTTAAAGTATAATAATTAGATTTTAATTTAGAAATAACAGCAGCGAATGGTATATAATATAAATAAATAAAATTTCAACGAAAAATTAAAATGTGATAAGATGATGTGGAACTTTCATTACTTGCTTAGATGTAGTAATTGCTTAGATGACAAATTAATTTAAATATAAAATATTTTATAAATAATACAAATAAATAACCATGGTATAACAATTAGATTTAAAATATACCTTGAAAAAAAAATAAAATTTTCAAATACTATTTTAATACAGGATGATGAAAAATTGTAAAGATGCTTAATAATTAACAAATAAACTTTTATATATAAAAACTATATAACATTTATGGAAACATTACAATGTAATAATACTTAGAATATTAGAAAATGTGAAAAATCAGTGATTAATAATATTAAGCACCTACATTCTTCTATAATGATTCATTAATATGTTTAATTTAAACTTAGTGTAAACTAAGTTCCTTGTGACCATGTAAATAAACTAGACCAGCTTGAGTTTTGGTCTGGTATTGATCCTAAAATCATATTATAATAGTCATTGATGCTTAAATTAAATTAAATTAATTATTTATCACTTTACCTTTAGCAATAGTTTCTATTTGCTTCTGCTCATCTGGACTAAGTTTGAGCAGTTTATTTATTACTGGTACTAAGTGATATTTTTCTACTCCACTTGACAAAGTAATAAACTATTTAAAAAATAATAATAATTAACATTGTGTTTTATAAATTAGTATGCCTTAACAATAAAATAAACCTTTATAATTATATTTTTTAAATATTCCATATTTTGTATTTCATTATGTCTGTCTATGCTACGCTGCAATCGTCTAATATCTTCTTTAAGAAATTTATTTTGTTGTTCGTATCGAGAACAGTTTTTTTCAGCATCATTTAACATCATAGTTAATTGTTTTAATTGTTTTTGACTAGTGTTCAATTCACTAATTGGATCCCCAACTATAAAATAAGATATTTAGCAATAAACATTTAAAGAATTGTTTAAAACTATTGATTAATTACCACTATTATTATCAAATGATAACAGTTCTGCCAAAGGCATAGGTACCGTTTTGCTGATTTTTCGAACAGATTCGTTTGAACTTGCAAAATCTGAAAACTAAAAAAAATATTTTTACGTTTCAATTTAATTTATATTTTCATATACTAACCATTTCATCATCATCGTGAATATGATTTGAGGAGTTTGATTTTTTAAGTTTATTTTCAATAATAGGTAACACGACATTTGATTCTGATTCATGAGAATTTCTTTCTTTAGCTAAAGTAATTTCTTGTTGTAGTCTATTAATTTCCTTTTCATGTGCTGATCGTTCACTCAATATAGTTTCCTATAAAATTAAAATAAAGTCATTTTTTCTATTATAATGTTGTAGATTTCTCTTTATTGGGACACATTGGTATCGTATTATTTTATCCTAATAATCCATAATTAATAAAAAGCATAACATTTATTTGATATTTTATGATTAATTAGTATGAAAAATGTTTTATAATTTATGTAATAATAATTATAAAATTATAATACTTAAAAATACATACTTATAAAAAAGAACATTTAAAAGTTATCTTCTGATAGATTGAAAAACACACATTAAACATCAATATCATGATAATAATAGTGATGAAAATTTGCATAATTAACAAAAATAAGATTGAGAAATAACTTTTTTTAATATAAATGTCATAATAATCTAATTTTATGACCTATGTAAGTAGTGAACGTTTACACTACAATCATTAATTTATTTTGGTGATTGAAGTATTGTAATCAAATGCCTAACCTAATTAACTGATGTTCCTATTAAATGAAATCTACAGTACATTTATCTGATCATATTTAACCTACGTTTAATGATATCTTCTCATTTTCCAATATAGATTTAATATTTACAATTTCATTATTCAAACAATATATTTCTTTGTCTTTTGTTGATATGGTCTTTGATAAATTACTTATTTTTTTTTCATATTTATCAATTTCTTTTTGTAACATGGTCATCTCTGTATTTTTAGTAGATAGTTCAGACCTAGAAAATAAATTAAATTTATAAAAATAAAAATAATTATGATTTTTTTCTTGCAGAGTACTTACGATACACTTTGTAAGTTGATTTTTGATATATTTAAAGTTTTGGTAACTTCTTGTAGTTGTTCATTCAATTCCGCAATTTTTGCATGGTACACAGTGTCTTGTTTGTGTTTTTGAAAAACACTATGAGCTCTTACTTTATAAGCTTCAAACTCGTCAAGTAAGCTTTGATTTTCTTCTGTGTATTTTAAAATAGATTCATTTGCTGTTTTTATTTCCAATTGCATTCTTCGAATCTAAATAAAAAATGAACATCAAAATAGAGATCATTATGATAATAAGAATTAAAATAATTTTTACTTTTTCAGTAAGCTGTGAGTGTTGCAATTGATAATTTTCTTTTTCAGTTTCATATAGTTTTTGTAATTCATCATACTTATTAGTCAAATTTGTATTTAATATATTTTGTTGATTTAATTCGGCTCGGCATTCTATTAAATTATTTTCTTTTTCATTTAATAATGATTCAGCATTATTCAACCCCAATCTACATATTTCTAATTGATGCTAAAATTAAAAATCATAAAAATGAATTTAAAATATAATATATTTACATATTATGTAAAGGATGAACGTTTAAATACAATTTAAAATTATAGCATGTTAATAAACTATACAAACTATAATTCTATAAGCTTTTATGAAAATTTTTTCAGTTTTAGGAATTGAGTTATCATAAAATAAGATCTATTATGAATAAATTAATGAAGATATTCCTATGCTAAGAAATATAAGTTTTATAACATTTTAATTAAAATATGAAATAATGATTGATAGCTTACTAAATTCTGTTTATTTCTTTCTTGTTCAGTATTAATAGTATGCTCCAAATGATTAATTTGTTCATGTAAAGAATCAATAACACTGTTGGCATTAGAAAGTTCCTGTTCTAAATTCTGAGTATGTTGCTTTTCTTCTTTTACTTTTTGTGATAATTCATCTAAAGTTTTCTAAAGTGTCAATAACAAATTTGATTAGTACAATAGATATTTTAAACAAATACTACTAACTTCATAAGAATTTAATTCAAGATCACGAATATTAATTTTTTGTTTTTCTGTTTTTAATTTCTCCAATTCAGATTCCATGGATTTTATTTTATCTTTTGAGACTTTTAAATTATTTGAAAGTTCTTTTATATATGCTTCTCTATCTGTTTTTAGTATTTCAGCAGCTGATTTTTCTTGTTTCAAAATGTCAAGCTTTAAATTTAAAGATTTATCTGCTTCCTTTAAACTAAATTTAAATATAAACAATAACTAAAACTATAATAAGTACAAATTATAAATACACTTAATTTTATCAAAATAAAGTATATATGTAAATTTATACATAATAAACAAGTAAATAAATTACCTAATTATAGTATCGTGAGCATGTGTTAAGTCATTCTTTAAAGTTTCAATATCCGATTTTAATATGGTGCATAATTTTGTTTGTTCTAACACCTGATTTTCTTCTTGTTTACACTTTTTAAATAATTCTTTAATTTCCAAACATTTATTATCATACTCATCACATTTAATATCATACTGTTGTTGTAGACACTTGTAAATAAAAAATAATTATGTTTAAATATTAATATCAACATTGTAAATTTGGATGTTACTATAGAAAATTTATAACTAATATATGTATTTTGGAAACTTTTGATTTGTTAATTATTTACTATTTTTTTACCAAAATAAGTTTAGTTTTTTCATAAAAAAAATTAATTTGTATATTAGTTAATAATTTATACAACTTTTTTTTTTTTTTTTAGTAAGAAATTTAAATGATGATACTTTTACAAGTCTAATTAATATATGAAGACTTTTTAATTAATATTTCTTATAATTGTCAATATTTTAAATATAAAATCTTAAAAAAGCACATGAAATTATAAATATTAAACACTAGAAAAATATGTCTAGATAGATATTAAATATATTTTATTTTTAAATCTTACTCGAGCAATTTTGCCCTGTTCAGCCAATGCTGTGATTTTATTGATTAATTCACTTTTTTCTAAACTATGTTTTTTCATTTCATTTTCAATGGACTGTTTCAAATCAGCTATTTGTTTTTTTTGTTTAATAGCAATGGCTTTTAGCTAAAATATAAAATTTAATTAATTATCGATATACAATAAAATTAGCTATAATTTGATAGTAATTAACTTTTTGTGATCGGTCTTCTTGACTTTCATCTATATCGCGTACTTTATAAATATTTTCCATTTTATTAATTGATGTTGTATTTGAATCATCTATACAAATAAAAATATTAAAAAAAAAAAAATCTTAAAAATTCATAATTAAATTAGATTTAAAAAGTACCAAAATTTTCTTTTAAGTGTTGTAATTCTATATCCATTTCATTACATAATGCATCTTTTGCAGTTACTAATTCTCTTAGATGTAATACTTCTGTTTTTAGTTCTTTTATGTTTTCATTTTTACAAGTCAATTCTTTTTTTAAATTTGCAATTTGTAAGTCAACATTTTTGATGAAATTTTTTTTGGATATATTTAAATTCTCTATTTCTTTAAGTTTTTTTAGCATAAATTCTCTGCATTCAGATACTAGAAGTTTTTGTTTTGGCAACACTTCATTCTTAATTGTATAAATATATTTTAAATTTTTTTCAATTTCAGCATTTATGATTAATTGACTATTATCAATGGTATCCATTAAATTTAGTTTATGAATTGAATTTTCTGTAGAATTATTCGTATCTGAACAAGTAACTTCGTTTTTAGAGATTTCTTGTTTGTAGTTATCTAATTTTTCTTTTAATGATTGAATAATTTTTTCTTTTTTGTTAATTTCGTCTTTTAAAGTTATTTCAGAATTTTTAGAAGATAATTTAAATAATTTATACTCTGCTAAAGTGCATTCAAACAGTTCAAAGGTTTCATTTATAAAAGGTTCAATTTTTAATAATGATTCATTATTTTCAACTTTTTTACTTTGTTTTACATGGTTTTTGACATAATTGTCAAAAATTTCGTCTAAAAGTTTTAAACAATTGGTGAAGTTTGTATATAAATTATGTATATTAGAAGATAACAATGAATTTTTTGAATTTAAAATACTATTATTTTCAATAAGATTGTTGATTTCATTATTTTTGATATCAATTTCTCGCTTTAAGTCTTTTATACAACATTTGAATACGTTTTCTTCTTTCTGCATATTTTGCAATCTTTGCACATATACTTCTCTTTCATTTTCATATGTTTCCATTTGTTTAGAAAACAATTGTATTTGATTTAGTAATTTATTATTTTCTTCTTCAATGTCCACATAATTATTTAACTTTTCATTTAATGCAGTAATATTATTTTCTAATTTGTTAATTATATTTGTTTGATTATCAAATGCTTGCTCTCTTTTTTCACAGTGATTCTCTAACGAAATATTTTTTTGTATTAATTCATTACACTGTTGTCTAATTTTACTCTGAACTTCTTCCAATTTTAATTTATCATTATTTAACTTTTTGTTTTCATTTTCTAAAGATTTATATTTTATTGTATTACATTTTATCTGTTCTTTAAGGTTTGTTTTTTCTTGATCAGCGCAAATTCTAAATGCCTTTTCATTGTCTAATGTTTTTTTCATTGCATCTAATGCATATTTGTTACTTTGAAGTGTTTTCTGTAAAGCTTCAACTTCATCTTTTTGTTGAGTAATTAAAATGTGAATTTTTTCTTTTTGGTTGTTGATTACTGATTCAGCTTCTTGTAGTTCTTTATTCTTATTCAGCAATTCCTATAAACATTTATTATTCAAAGAACTTTAAAAAAAACCAAATTATGATGTAATAATTGCAAAATTATGTACAGTTATTACTGTATTTAACTTTTTCCCTACAATTCAATAAGATATTGTTGATTTATTATTATTATAAGTGAAAGGAACAAGATAAATAATAAGTGCAGCTATATTTTAATAACAATACTGTTAACAGATTTTAAGTAATAAATAATTGGTTTAAGAACTATGATTTGGATATTATTTCAATATTTAATTTAGTCAACAAAATTTAGAATAATAATAAAGTTGAAAAAATTCAACTATATAAGTATGGGTCTTTGAACATAGATCCATTTAAGAATTTTATTATAATTTTAATAAAAAGTCAGAAAAATGTGAAGAAATGTAAGCAAATTATCTTTCTTTTTTTTTTTTAGAGGAGGAGGGGTACAACATTTTTAAATTTACATTTACCTAATTATGATTTTACCTAAATATTTTAAAGATTTTTAAATAATAATTTAAATATCAATTTTTACCTGTTTTTCAGAATGTTCATATAAACGTTGTAGGTTAAAATACTTTTCTTCCCATATCTTTTCTTTATTATGCAATTCTAATAAAAATAAAAATAATTATTATTAAACCTGTTTTTGTTTCATACATTTTATATTTTTAATCATGCTCAATTAAATTAAATTTAATTTAATAAACAAATTGATAAAAACTTAATTTGTATATACCTTCATTTTCTTTCTTTAATTGCGTGATTTCATTTTGATATTTAGCACAAATTTCTTCCTTTGATAATTTTTGTAATACCTAAACATACATAAAAAATATGAATATTATATTTTTAAGTAGGATAGTTATAAAAGTATCATCTGAAAGTTTACAATAACATTGAGTTATATACATATATTATATTTAAAATAGTTAAGTTATAGTGATAAACTGTATAACATACATCATCAATATCATCTGAATTACAAACTTCCATAGTAGGTACTAGGTACCTAAAAATTATTAACACTCAAAATCTAAAACTAATAAAGCTTCATAGAATTTTTACAATAACATAATGATTATTATAAATTAATTAATACAAATATTGGTAAATAAAACTAGAAATTATATTAAAATTAAAAACGTAGTAGTTTTTTTTTTTATAGTTTTATTGACTAGTTTAATTAATATTTAAGTTGTACATATCACATTAAACACAATAAACACTAAACAGTAATATTGCTGATAGGTACTGATTATCATTATCACTTATATTTACAGCATTTCATGTAAATATTATCGTTGGCATACACGCAGTTATGACACGCATTATTATATTAATAAAAAATACTTATCACTGATAAACTAAAAAGTGATATCATTAATTATATCCGGAAATTTAGTCTTAGTAGTCTCTATTCTTTTCTTATTTTATTTTTATAATAATTGTGAATGACGTGAATAATAATCTATTTACATACCTAGAAAATAAAATTCGTTTTCTCTGGTTTTATTTAATGAAAATGGCGTTTATCATAAATGCTTTTCAAAGATGTAAAGCTTTGGCCAAATTTCAAACACCAGTGAACGAAACATGTGTAAGTATAAAAAAAGAATTAGACTAATAAGGACTAATTTATGTTAATTGATTTTGCATTTTTTAGTTAGGTATACATCCTTATAATCAACAAATTCGTAATAAATGGCCAGACTTTAGAATGAAAAAAGATGCACGGAAAAGAAATACTCTTAAAGAATATGGAGTGTACAAATTACGCTATAATGCACTTCGTAAAAACAATATCATTCCTTTAGAAATTCAAGTAATTGAAAATTAAAACATTATATGGTACAATTTTATATTTTTGGTTTATACATTTATAGGAAATTGCTGATAAAGAAATCTACAATTGTCCAAGGGATGCTAGTATAACTAGAATTGTACAGCGTTGTCAGGTCACTTCTCGTCCTCGTGGTAATGTCAAACGATGGCGTTTAAGTAGAATAGTGTTCAGACATCTAGCTGATTATAATAAATTAGCAGGTGTTCAGAGGGCAATGTGGTAAGTGCCTGGATTTACATAATGATTGATAATTAATTTTATACTAATATAATTATTTTTTGTAGGTAAAATCAAAATGAAAAATATTGCTGATGTATAGTATTGTATAACTAATATTCTTTATGAAATATTTAGTTAATTTTAATTAATATTTAAATTGTGTTCATATATTTATTGTATACACTTTTCAATAAATGTACAAACAACCATTATTATTTAATTTAAAAAAATAATATTTTTAATTCATTGGACATATTGTATGAGCAAAAAATATAACAAATATAAAAAAAAAATGTTTATTGTTCAATTTATTCAACGTATACTTTACATTTATAATACATTTAAACAATATTTCTTACTATCCTATTGTTCAACTAATTAAAAAATTCTAATTAATTTTTTGTAAGACAATTATGCTGTTTTAATATAGGTGTAATTTAATCAAAAAATTAAAAGATAATTTGTTGTATCAAAAAATATTGTTGATAATACTCCTAAATCTATGTAAGATCACTATAATCTATGGATTTCACCATAATCTTCATGATAGCTATATCTTAAATTGTTATTATTTTAATTATTTACTGCAGGTAAATTAAAATAAAGAATTTTAACAACAAAGTATAATGTAGATCTAATAAAAATTAAGTTAAACCAAAAAATTAATTTAAATGATTTTTAAATTCAAAAGTAAGTTTTGCAATAATTTTTATCATAATATGTTAAATACTTAAAAATGGTGACAAAAATGCTCTTTAAAAAATTCAATGTATTGCCTAGTTATTTTATCAATTCAATATTTTTTTTTTATTACTTTTAAAAATAAAAATCAATAAATATTCTTAGAGTTCAGAGCATGTTGTACTTAGTTATTTTTAATTATACCATGACGTATGACTGGCACTGTTTAAATTGTGACTATTTGCAAACTTTTCTTGGTTTTTAATCGATGATTTAAAGTTAAGTATTTTTGTCTGCTTAAATATGTTTAGGTTTAACTCGTCTATTTTAAGTTCACGAAAAATAGTGACTGACAATTTGTTAGTTTTGTTGAGAATATTTTCAGCATCTAGCACGGACAAATCCAATTCTGTTAGGGCCGTGTTTTTTGCATTTTATAAATATTTTACTAAATTCCCCCGACTTTGTCTGATCGATTTAAAAATGTGTAAATATTTTACAAAGCTTTATGTACCCGATTAGAAGGAGAGTGATATATTCACTTAAAAATTTCACTAAGGAATATTAAGACTTGTAATACAAAAATGATTAGTTGAACGTAAATTTGCATGATGTGCGTTTGTTAAAAATATAAGATTAATTGCTGATGGCATCAGCAATTTGGACGAGTGGTGATATAGAGATATGCTCGAGCCCCCAATGGCTAAAAAAAAATAGTTTTTATAGTTTTTTTATACAAAACATAAAATTTCAGCTATAATCATAAATTCAATTGGATATTCGATTTCATTTTGTACTCACTTGAAATGAAAATATTGTTCCGATCTTTCACTAAAAAAAAAAAAAATAGATGTTGCTTAATCATTTTGACCGGATTTGATACTTGAGCTTTCTTTATAAATTAAAAAAAAAATTATCTACATCTTATTTTTTTTCTTATCTTCAAAAACCGTTATTTTGTAACAAAAGTAGTCATTGAGATGTTATCAATCGCCCCCATTTTACTGGTTTCCCTCGAGGTGCTATTGATATTTCCTCTCCTCTCCTATTTAATTTATAGGCTACTGGCCAACCAGTCACCTTGTACCTATACTTTAGTATTTAAATTTGCAGGGAATAAAATTATATACATTTCTCAAAATGATCTATAAACTGTTAAACTTTACTTACAAAACCACATAAGCAGTCTTATCTTCTAGGTATACTAAATGGAAAGTTAAAACTAACAATGTAAAATCATCACATATTAATTTTTCTTTAAGACAAGATGATGTAGCAGTTAACCTAAACGATCAAATCATACCAAAAGCTCCAAGATCTGTATCTAGAACTAACTCTAAATAAACATTTTATAGGTATAATGGAACATATTAAAATCAAATGTATTATTTTAAACCTAAAAAAGAAATCAATTTATTATTTGATAGGTAATTACATCATACTCAGTCGTAATACCAAACTACTCATTTGTCTCTTTTACAAACAATTCATGCCTACCTGCAATTTATTTTAAACTTATGGAATCCGATTATAGGTTGCGGCGAAATGATAAAATTTAAATAAAATACTAAGGTTCCAATCGATCATCTTGTACATGATATCTAAGGCTCCTTTCTACATGTCAAACCAAATAATTCACACAGACCTATATCAAAACTTATCCTAAGGACTGAGAAATTTCTTAATGTATAAATAAAAATGTATATTTTGTTACTACCATGACTTTAAAATTGCCCAAATCCTCTTATTTTAACATTAAATTCAGACTTAATACACGTAAATTCCCAACGGAAGCTTAAGAGAAAATGGCGTCGTGACCTAAACTTTTAATCATATTTAAAAATTAATATATAAATATAAATAACTAGGGACCGGATTTATATGCACGAATGTTGTAATATGCTACAAAATATGTACTAAAAATTAAATCAAAAATATTTTATTTAAAACTATGTAAAAATAAGTATTAATTAATTAAGTATTAAAAAAGGAATAAAAAGGTTTTAGAAGTATAAAAAAGTATTTTGTCATCTTTGCCATTTAACATTTTTTATCATAAATTAATAAAATATTATTTCACATTAATAAAAAATCAAAGTAAAAAATGATCTATATATATTGTAATATATATATATTGTTTATGAGTATGTCATCTCAAAATTGTATTCAAAATACAATAAGTGTTATTTTAATAAGAATGATCTAAACTAAGGACAAATCTCATGAGATTTCAAAAACTTTATTCCAATATACTTAATTTAAATTAGGGACCGCCCTTTATATAACAAATTAAATCAGATATTAAGTATAGCTGCTGGGCTACTTTTTTTCTCAAGTAATACATGTTAAGTACTTATATTCTTTTATACTTTTATAGCACATATTCTTACCGTAAAATTAGTTATCAGATAGTTTATTTATGATATAAAAAAATAATAAATAAATAATATTTATTCATAAATTTAAACTTAATAGTAATTTTACTTAAAATATTTACAGTTTTAAAATGTAAATAAATCTAGTAGTAAGAATATACTCGAGGAAAAAATATCAACAAAACTATTAACCAAGGTTTGATAAATATTAAAATTAAATTATCCAATATAAATGGCTGTATTTATTATTGACTTTGCTCATAAAAATTTAAATTTATTTATTATATCATAATATTTACCTAGTATTGATTATGCAGTCGGTGGTCGTAGCAAAAAGTGTAGAAATAAATTTTATTTTAACTGTTTTCAATTATAGATAAGCAATAGAATATGAATTTTTTTTATTTTGAAATTCTGATTGAAGTGATTAAGACAAGTGATTTTTTTTTTTTTTTTGTATATACACAATAAGTAGTTGAAGAAATGCTTTGATTTTTTATTTTAAGGGTGGTTTCTGATAGAAAATTGAATCTATTTTATACTTTATAGAGGTAACAAATTTCCAGCACTTTCTTAAATATCTGCAGGAAAAATAAAATAAAAATAATTAAGGAAAAACCAGAATTTTTACATAAAATCAGTACTTAACAAAATCAATTTTTTTTATTTTTTGCTAGCAATTCCTACCACATAGTATAATTTGAATTTTTTTAAATTAATTATGCATATTTTCAAGGTTCAATTTTTTTTAGTTTTTTTTCTACAAAAGCAAATAAAAAATTCTCTTTGAGTAAAAATGCTTGAAAATTTAATACCAATTTTCATAAGTATTTATTTACCGGTTAAAAAATACCGAAAACTTATTGTTGCAATATTTTTTTTATAAGCGTTTAAAATTGGAATTTAACAAAATTCATCAACATTTCGAAATTATACAAATTATTTTACAGTTAAAAATACATAAAAAAAAATTCTCTTTATATCTAAGATTTAATACAAGATTCATCATACAAAGAAATGTTTTCTACTTATAACAAAATATGACTGTTCAAAGTTAAAATTTTTACGATATTGGTTTTACAATTTTTGATATTTGGTCGTACCTAATTCAAAAATAAATAAAAGTATAAATACTTAGACTTTTTACCAAATGCTTATATGATTATTTTCTATACATTATAAAATTTTAAAATATTTTGACTCTTTTTGAGTTATTTAAGAAACATTTGAAATTTCCTTTTTTGTAATTTAATTTCTATAAATGTTGATAAAAATGAAAACGACAAAACTGTAAACATCTGCCCACCCCACCTTCTTTTTTACGGTTTAATATTACGATCTCAATATGTAATATTACAGTAATCTTGTAATATAGTATAGAGTCTATACTATAGACATGTGATATGTTATAATTTTCGACCTATCGTCTTCTGAATTTATTTATATCCATAGGTTGAGCCCACCTAATCAAACCGGGGGTAATCCATTTGCGTTAAAAAAAAATTGATTCGTTTTGGGTGCAACCAATTAGCGCCAAAATATATAAGGTATGTTTTTACCGATAACCCATTCGCGCCAAATTTACCTGCGTAAAAATTTTACATTTACGAATTGGTAAATTCATATGTTTAAAAGACGTCATGTCTGTAACCTACGAGTATTATAAAGTTATTTTTATAAGTCTATAGATTTTAAAGCTTTGTATATTATTTCGTAGAAAGATAGAAAACAAGTTTTATATCAGTTTCATTATGTTGTACGATGTAAATGCTCCGTTATATCGTTATTCGTCAGAACGATTGCATTGTGATTTTATCAGACATTCGTTTTGTTACTCTATACGTCTACATAATATTCTTATTATATTAATTATAATTAGGTACGTTGTACTAAATACTATATGAATTATGAATTATAAGAATGGAGTTCGTGACAAGCACAAGATGGGGAAAAATGGTTGTAGAAAATGACTATAAGTATATTTTAGCATACTTGTAATAGCACTCTTTGTGCTGAAGTCTGAAACATTTAATGATTATAATAAAAAAAAATA